GAACCTACCACTTTAGGTGTATGTGGCTGGCGCCTTAGCCGCTTGAGCCACAGGCGCCGAGCCTGGTTTTTTATTTTTTAATGAATTCAATTCACCCACATTCAGTGGTTTTTAGTATATTCACAGAATTGTTCAAACAACTACATCTTAATTCTAGAACATTCCATCACCTCCTGGAAGAAGCCCTGTCCCCATCATCAGTCACTGCCCATCTCCTCCCCCAGCCCCTGATGACCATAGATCCACTTCCTGACACTGTGGGTTTTTCCTCTGTAGAGGAGTACCCCGAGTCCTGTGCCACAGCCCCGAGACTCCTCATCCACACTTGAAAAGCAGATTGGTGCTAATGCCCACGGTGCTGGCAGCAAGAGCCTTGCCCTGGCTCCCACAGGTAAGGCCCATACTGCCCCAGTCCAGCCCTAGCTGTGCCTACCCAGGGCCCACGACATAGGCCTCTGCTCTGGTGATCTTCAGGTGGGAGGGCCAGGGTGCTAGGTGTGGAACGGGATTTCTCAGGGTGAGGATTGTGTGCTGCCACCTTCACTTCCAGGTAGTGCTCTTGCTCTTTCTTGCTCCCCTAAATCTGGGCTGCTAGTCAGACTCTGCTCTGGCCTTAGCACCACCTCCCCATAGTGTGGTTTTAACTGCAGCCCAGGGAGCCCCAGAAAGTCAAGGGCTCTGCCGCTGTCGGCCCAGGTCTCACTGACCCTGACACTACTGTTACTGTTTCAGCTCTTGGTTTGCCCCCTTCCATTAGATTTAATTTTGTCACTCACCCAGCTGTGAAGCTTGGGGATCTCTGAGGCCCAGGACTTGGGGTCAGCCAGGTACAATGGTGCCTTATGGCAAGTGGCTGTGGACATCAGGTGCCTGCTTTTCGCTGGGTTCTGGTTCTTCAGAAAACTCCCACCCACAAGCCTGTTATGTTAACACAGGGCTCTGCAAACACTTTCTTTGAAGGAGTAAGTGGTATTGTATACTTTTTTGACATTTGTTATAATCATTCATCGTACCATTCAGTGTGAAAGCAGACTGTACCAATATGAAAATGAGTGAGTGTGGCTATGTACCAATAAAACTTTATTTACAACAATAGGCTGTGGGCCAGATTCATGGTTTGCTGGCCCTGTACGAACACATACTGTGATGTGGCAATTACCTTTTTAGAGAAAAATTAATATGCAAGAGGCCACTGTTCAGACTAGATTCTTCCTTTGGTCTCTTGGCATGGTGCTTGGGAGGTTGTCTTCCCTCTTCCCTAAGCCTGGGGGAACCCAAGAATGGTCCATCCTGTGCTCAGCACTGGCTGCACAGGGTCATTTTCTCTGAGGCAGTTAGGACATCAAGAGGTTTTTAACCAGGGCTTTGGAGGCATGTAGGAACAGGCTTCCATCTGGCCCAGCATGCAGAATGGGAACCATAGGTGTGGTCATGTGCATATGTGAGGACCCACCCATAGGCATCATCCCTGCTGTGGCTGAATCTCATGGCGGGAGCTTATGGGCTTAGGCTATGGGCTCGTCCTACTCCCTGAGTACCACAGTGCCAGTGATCCCACCTGACCTAGGAGATCCTGCTGAGGGCCGGAACTGGTGATAAGCTCCTGGCTTGGGCATCTGCACTTCCCTTTACAACTCATTGTACACACCCATGGGCTAGGGAGGAGGGGCTGCCAGAGCAGGCCCCTGGCCTTAAATGGCTTCCACAGTATGGATATTTTTTTATTTTTCTTTTTGTTGTTTTGAGACATCGTCTTACTTTGTCACCTTGGTAGAGTGCTGTGGCTTCCTAGCTCACAGCAACCTCAAACTCTTGGGCTTAAGCAATCCTTTTGCATCAGCCTCCTGACGAGCTGGGGCTATAGGCGCCTGCCACAGCACCCAGCTGTTTTTAGCAATGAGGGTCTCTTTTTTTTTTTTGAGACAGTGCCTCAAGCTGTCCCCTTGGGTAGAGTGCCATGGCATCACTGCTCACAGCAACCTCCTCAAGCGAGTCTCCTGCCTCAGCCTCCCAAGTAGCTGGGACTACAGGCGCCCACCACAACCCCCAGCTATTTTTTTGGTTGCAGCTATCATTGTTGTTTAGCGGGCCTAGGCTGGATTCAAACCTGCCACCTTAGGTGTATGTGGCTGGCGCCTTAGCCACTTGAGCCACAGGCGCTAAGCCGGTCTCTTTTTTTTTTTTTAAGAGACAGAGTCTCACCTTGTCACCCTCAGTAGAGTGCTATGGTGTCACACAGCTCACAGCAACCTCCAACTCCTGGGCTTAAACGATTCTCCTGTCTCAGCCTCCTGAGTAGCTGGGACCACAGGTGCCCACCACAATGCCTGGCCACTTTTTTGTTGCAGTTTGACTGGGGCTGGACCCAACCTGTCACCCTCAACATGTGGGGCTGGTGCCCCACCCACTGAGCCACAGGCACTGCCCAGTGGGGGGGGTCTCTTGAACTCATAACCTCAGGCAGTTCATATGCCTTGGCCTCCAAGAGTGCTACCGTGTTTCCCCGAAAATAAGACCTACCCCCCAAATAAGCCCTACCAGGATTTCTATGCATTTGTTAAATATAAGCCCTACCCCCATAATAAGACCTAGTGATGGGCGTATCTGCATAGCCACACCATGCATATTGTCGTGGAGTGGTAAGGAAGACTGGAATACCTCTTATCTGCCACAGCTCCTTTCTCCAAGCCGTTCACACTTGCGTGAGTGCGTGTGGGTAACCATGGTCACAGGCATCCTATTGTGCACATGCAAACGGCAAGGGGAAAGGAGTTCACACATCACTAGCGCCAGCCCCACCAACAAGGTCAGCTCCCCCTGTCAGGTTCCAGAAGAAGGTGACTTAACTGTATTTGAATAAGTGTAGATTGTTGTATTGTACTTCATAAAAATAAGACATCCCCTGAAAATAAGCCCTAGTGTGTCTTCTTGAGAAAAAATAAATATAAGACAAGTGTCTTATTTTGGGGGAAACACAGTAGGATTATAGGTGTGAACCACCATGCCCAGTTAGCGTAGACATTTCTGAGCACAGAGCTATCCTCTTTGGCCAGGAGGGAGGTCACTCTCAGGGTCATGCAGCTAGAAGCTCTTCCCTAGGAGGTGTCTCTGGGATGGGGGCATGACTGGGCACACCTTGTTATCCAAGTGCGCTTAGCCTAGAGCCAGCTCAGCATAGATGTCTCAGTATAGACAGTGTCTTGGCTATACCATGAAGGGGCTAGGTAGGTCACCCCTGAGGCAATGGTACAGAGGTACGACCCCTGAACGTCTGGAGAGGTAGTCTGGCAGGGACAGCCTCTCTTATCTGCTAAGGGGCACTGCTGTGGTGCAGTCAGGGTTAGGATGGGATCCAGGGAAGTGAAGGCACCCAAGATCCCAGAGGGTGGTGTGGCAGGTCCCTCCCACTTCTGACTCCTTGTCCTCTCCCGACTACCTCTCTTTCCATGTGACCCCAGAACCCTTAGTGTCATTTTCTCCCATGTAAGATCACCAATAGAACCTTACAGATCCATACCCAGGGAGTCCATTTCTGATTCTAGGACCGTCCCTGACCCCAAGGCACTTGGGTTGTTGTCATCTTTTGTACTGTTGTGAATCAGGCTGACATGAACATGGTTGTACAAAGAGCTCTTTGAAATCCTGAAGTACAGGAGGATTCTGATTTCTCCACATCCTCACCAACACTTATTTGCCATGAGTAGATGTGAAATAGTATCTTATTGTTTTTTCATTTATGTCCTGACACACATTGTCTCTGATGTGGGCAGCCCCTTCCTGAGGCCAGGCCTTCTCTGCCGGGTGGGTTCTGGCATCCATGCACCTGGGTTCGAGCCATGTTGCTTCCCCTGACGAACTGTCCCCTGCAGGTTTCTCCTATGCTGGCTCGGTGGCCATCAGTGGGGCCTTAGTTGGCAGCCCTGCACCACTCACGTCTGGAGCTGAGCTGGCCACTTTTGAGGAGTCCTCCAGTTCAGGGAGCCTCTTCGCCACTGTGGGGTCCCGGAGCTCGACGCCACAACACCCACCCTTGCTGGCCCAGTCCCGCAGCTCCCGCCCAGCCTCTCCTACCCACCAGCTGTCCTCCAGCCCCCGGCTGGGTGGGGCCACCCAGGGTCTCCTTCCTGACACCAGCAAGGGAGACCTGCCCTCTGACACCGGCTTTTTAGATCCGGAGAGTGAGGCCAAACGGAGAATCGTCTTCACCATCTCCACTGGCATCAGCTGCACCAAACAGTCACCTTCCAGCAAGCATAGCCCTCTGAATATGGGCGCCCGTGGGGACTGTGGGCAGAGCCATGGACAGGACAGCCGCAAGCGGGGCCGTCGAAAGAGAGCATCTGCTGGGACCCCCAGCCTGAGTGCAGGCGTGTCTCCAAAGCGTCGGGCCTTGCCACCTGTGGCTGGCCTCTTTACGCAGCCGTCGGGGTCCCCCCTCAACCTAAACTCCATGGTGAGGACATGGACTCAGGCAGGTGGGAGGTAGAGAAGGGAGACAGGATGGACTTGGGAAGTCAGGAGGGGCCTGATAGCACAGCTCCACCCAGGTGAGCACAGGTCAGGAGTCAGATGTTTCACCAGTGTGTCAGGAGTCCCTGGGATCATGGTAGAAACCCCATGACATGCATCAGGTACCCGATGTTGGGGACCCTTCTGTCTGTGGGGCATGTTCACATCTGCTTTGTTTCTGGGCCCTCAGGTCAGTAACATCAATCAGCCCTTGGAGATTACGGCCATCTCTTCCCCTGAGAACTCATTGAAGAGCTCCCCCATCCCCTACCAGGACCATGACCAGCCACCCGTGCTCAAAAAGGAGCGGCCCCTGGGCCAGACCAATGGGGCACACTATTCCCCACTGACCTCAGACGAGGAGCAGGGCTCGGAGGATGAGCCTAGCAGTGCCCGGTAAGTCGGGGTGGGCTGTAGTGCCTGGGCACAGGGGTGGGCATGTTCACCTGCCAGCTGGTTACAGGATTCAAGTGCCAGATGGTGCTGGTTCAGAGAAGGGTATTTACTTTGTAGGAAACACCTTTGGAAAAGGTCCTAGGAAGTCATGGCACATTTTCCTGTCCTCTATGTAAATGGATTTGGTCTGTGGCCTGAATGGCTGGGCAGGGCCTGTTTCCCGGGGACTGTGTTCAGGATTATGTCCTGACACATACTTAATGTCACTGGGTTGGGAGAAACCAAGTGAGTAGAGTTGCCACAGCAAGAGAAAAGTTTAAAAAAAAATTTTGGGCTTGGCATCTGTGGCTCAAGTGGTCAAGGCTCTAGCCACGTACATCTAAGGTGGCGGGTTCGAATCCAGCCTGGCCCAAACAACAATGAC